AAACAAAAAAGAATTATTAGGCATCGTATGGGCCTTAAAAAATCTAAGGAATTATTTATATAGGTAACTGGTATTGAAATACAGACTGACCATCAGTCATTATCGTTCTCAATATCAGACAAAAATCCGAATATATAAATGAAACGATGGTATTCGTTCATACAAGGATTTACACCTAAAATAGTGTATAAACCAGGCACAACAAATGTTGTAGCCGATGCATTATCCAGGCTAAAGCTAAACAACCTCACTGAAAGTGACGAAGAAAACGTAGATGACTCAGATATTAATACCCAGCATTCAGCCGAAAGTAGTTTCGAGAATATAATTCAGGAAACCGGAAAGCCATTGAACTAATTTCAACAACAATTGTTGTTAACCACAGGTAGGCTCACGGTACACGAACGCCTAACAGTCTTTGACAAAGTTAGACACATAATCGAATATGATACACCAGAAAATCTTGTATCAATACTGAGAGTATTTACCTCCCAATATTACAGTAGGAATACACTGCACTATAGAAGACCTATATCAAATTCAGGAATTTCTAAGAAATAACTTCAATAACAAATTTCTTTATACAAGAATATTTTTGCAGGATATTGAAAAAATATTGGGAAGTTCCAATCCCAACAAAAGAAGGAGAAAACCTACACATCGACATATACTACGCTCAAAAATTAACGTTTTTGACATGTATCCATGCGTATTCGAAATTCCTAGTAGTAAAGAAAATTCAAAACAAATTCAATATCGAAAACACAGTAATGGATTTGCTACAGCAGTTCCCAATGGCCAAAATAATTATGCTAGACAATGAACCTAGCTTCACTTCAGCGCAATTCACATCCTTTGCACAAAGATGTGGATTAACCCTAATGTTCACTGATCCAAGGCACAGTACGACTAAAGTAGAACTCGACTAAAGTAGAACTACGACTAAAGTAGACTCAAGTAGAACGAGCACACTCTACACTAATAGAATTAGCTTGCTGTATAAAAGAAGAATTCAGATTAGTAGATCATTCAGAGATACTAATTAGAGCCGCCCAGGCATACAACAAATCAATTCACTCCACGACTAAACAAAAACCATTTGAAATACTCTATAACCGAATCCAACATGCGGACGTACCACAAACACTACAGGACGCCCAGGAAAAAATGTTAAACTTTCATAATAAAAATCGTAAAGAAAAGGATTATCACATCGGACAAGTAGTTTACGAAAAGAAAATTGGGGTAAGAAATAAACTCAATCCCAGATACAAAAAACAAGTAGTTCAAAAAGGATGTCCTTACTTATAAGTCCTATAATGATTTATTCCACAATTTAAGTTTTTATATGGAAATAATAAATATTGAATCACAAAACATTAAGAAAGATACTAATAAAAGATCACAATGGGAAATTAAGTACGACTTAGAAGTAATTGAATTAATTTTCTCACAGTTAATATCAACTAGACCAAAAAGGGGAATTCACGAGTTAGGCACTGTGTGGAAATGGTTAGCTGGAACTCCAGACCATGATGACTTCATCAAAGTACAAAATAAAATCAATGACCTAATAGAAAATAATAATAAACAGTTTATCATCAACTCCAAATTGTTCAAAGAAATAGAATCCCTTTCTGATGAATTTAAACATGTATTTATCTATCAAGATTTACCAATACGAAAACATCGCCTAAGACTTTTAACATTTGATTTGCAAAATTTAATCGGTACTATCACATTGGCGAAAATTGATGTCTTCAATACTAAAATTGTAAACAATGAAGACATAAAAGAAATACTAAATCACGAACCAAGACCGGTAATCATTGCCTAATGGACCTAATGCATATATCAGTATTCTAAATTGCGCTACACAAAGAACTCTTAATAATTTATATAAAATACCCTATAATTGATAGCAGGTGCGATATATACTATGCTAAAGCCATCTCTAAAAGCGATGGAAAACTAATAATAAGCAATCAAGTCGCAAAATGCGACAATACGTATTATGAAATGTCTACATTTAAGACCGAACTCTTTAACAATTACGGTATAATAAATCAGAAAAAAAACCTGTTTTACCAAGTTATTAAATGGAGAGAAATCGACTTGTAAGAAAATAAGAGAAAAAAAAAAGAAATTAGATATCATCCATAATATTGTTAACAACTCCTATTTAAATGGATCATTTCTAATAACATTTAATAGTACAAGCACAATTAACAACATTTCATACACCAATTCAGAAAGTAAAATTCTCGAGTACATAACTACAAACCATTTTACAAGTTATGAAATATCCAATTACATTTTGTCGAATAACTCGGAACTCTCTCTAGACAATGTAAGCATTCTAAACCCTTTCATTCAAATTAATAACACCAAGATATCACTTTCCCTTATATTATTAATTGTAATTGTTTTATACATCATTTTTGTAATCATATATCTAAGTTTCAAATACAACAAATTTATATTTGTAACCAAAAAAACACGGCCAGAACGCGAAAACAGCTTGAATCAAACAGAATTTTTAGCAGAGTTACGGGATCACCTACATATAATTCAGAATGAATCGAGACGATCCTTTTAGAAGGGGGAGAGTTATATAACCCCTAATACAGTGACCCGCATTTGAAGCATAAACACTTTCGTCCAAAACAAGTCCGTTCATTTGTTGCCTTTGTATCTAGCAATTGGCTCTTGCCACCAGCGAACATAAACATAAACAGAAGCTTCCGCTTCTACTGCGCATTAGTGCAGCACCAATTACATACGCAAAACAATCGAATGTCATCACAAGTCGAAATGAGCCTAGCTCAATTCAATTGCAAAAGAAAAAATAAAGTAAACATTATCTGGCCGAGGTTCGTTGGAAGAAATCTGGATCCGCAAGATCCAGTTAATTCGACACCGTGAAGATCAACGGTTGTGCAAATTGCATCAAATTCCAACTAGCATAAGCTAGCACGTAGTCAATCTCAATTTATTTCCAAATATTCAATAAATAATACAAAAACTAAAAAATATATTTTTTTAAGGGAATTCTTAATTTGCATGTATTCTGTAGGCAGATCCTAAAGCGTGAGTTGGTGCCACAAATTACTGAAAGTAAGTTTTAATTGAAAATAATTCTTTTTAAAGAATGAAACCAATTTTTAAAGGGTGGGCAAACGTTAAAAACCATTTTTAAGGGGTGGGCAAACGATTTTCTTTGAAAATATTTAGTTTTAAGAGGTGGGCAAACGAAAATATTTTTGTTTAAGGTAGGCAAATGATAAAAACAATTTTTAAAGGGTGGGCAAACGATATTGTTTAAGAATATGGGAAATGCTTAAATCCTTAAGGGCTTATATTTACTAAACTAAAAGCTTAATCAAAATTGTAAAAGGTGGGCAAACGAAATTGCGATTAGTTCAAAAAGTTAATTTTTATGATTTTCGAACATTTTGGATATTTTATATCTTTAATACTGGACCAATTGGTCGGCAAACATGGGCAAACGATTCCAACTTTCAAATTTCAAAAATTCGATTTTACCGAACCCAGCTGCTTTGAGATAACGAGTACAGGGAGACAATTTTGGAGATCGTATCAGTTAAAGAACTTTTTGTTCCTTAAAAGAGCTTGCACAGCGCAGTGATATTAAAATCTACAAAAATACTTAAATAACGTGATACATTTTCAGCTAATATAGCTTTGGTTCGTTTCATTAATTAAAGAGAATACAAAATTATAAAAACAAAAAAAAATGACGATGTTCCATAAAAAAAATTATTGGAATGAAACGTTTATACATTAAAATATAGTTCGTGCAAGCCCTAATACCCTCAGAATTACTGAATTACAGCAGAGTTACTTTTACAATAGGTGGGTTTCTTTTAGCACTTGTAATTAGTTTCTTGCACTGTCCTTTAGAAGATTTATAATCATTTCCAAAGCCGTTTTTATTTAATTTAATTTTTTCAACATCCTTATATAGATTCTGTACGGCTCCTTCCCCATAGAAGGAGCAAGAATTCGACTGATCCTGTTAAATGTTCCAGCCACTCTGGGTCTACTATCTAACTCTGGCGACAATTACATCGAATCCAGTCCACAAACCCTAAATCTTCTCATCCACACTTCCATTTCTGGTTGCGTAGATGTTGACGACGATCAAGGTGGATTACCCACGGACGTTATTGGCCATCTGCAAAGGCGAGCGTCTGCTAGAGGAAGTTCATAGCAGGTGGTGAGAAAATCAAATGGCAATAAATTCGATCAAACCCTTTGAATCGGTGGGCCGGACTATATTAACCCGTAATGGTTTACAATGGCAGCTCTTCTTGACAAGAGCTTTTCTTGAACCAGTAACAGACCCTCTATACCGTATCGACTCGCCCTAGATGATCATAAGGTTGCTGGGTTTTGTGCTCAGCAACGGGCTGATCAACTTTTCTCTCGGAGTAATTAAGGTCATAAGAAAAAAAAAGCTGCCAACATCAAAACCCATTTTTCAAAATATCTAAAAAGTTTGTATTGCTCAGATACACAACCCAAACGGCATTCAATGCCCTGCTAAATGTATTACCGATGCCTTTCGGCTAGTACAACTGCAAATCTTTAAGCCAAAGGCCTAAAAAAGGGACTGGTCACGGACCCCAGGCTTGGGTGGCAACAATGTCAGGGGAATGTTACTATTGCTGTTCAGAATTTAGATGGGGCAGGAATTTTAGATCCAAGGCACGGATCGGAACACTAACTCTGTACAATCAAAGAACGCAGTTACAATCCTTACAGATGGATTAAAAACTGAAGAGGAAAAAGGTGCCGAAATATTTATAGACAAACAAGTTTGTGGACAGTCGGGCGGTAATCAAATCTGTTTGATCGCACACTTTCTATGAAACTTTTTTTGAAGCAGTGTGTTGCTGTTATAGTATTTATATAAGTATATGTATGTTTATATATGTATGTAAATACATATCCATGCTTGAAAAAACCTAACTTACCATTGCTTATATCGTGGTCATTCATTTTCTGATTGCCTCTTGCGTTGCCTATATCTTCATCGTACTGTTCACTTTCAAGAAGAATTCCAAAACGTTCGTATGCCATATTTGCAATGCTATAATCCATTAATTTATGAATTTACGGATAGTATTAAAGCGTTTTATATGCAAACATAAATGCAGGCACATGTGTTAGGTAAGATTTGTATGTTTCCTGAGCGTTTTATTCCCTGAGGCTATTATATCTGAAAGAACTGCATTAGTGCATATGTAGGTAATATAACACAATAATTTAATATCACGATTTATTGATACTTACAAACTTCCACAGAATTAATAATTGTCATATTGCAGTAGAGAACATAATATATAGCGATAAAGATGCCAAACGGATCTCTTAGAAAATGCAGTCTATATGTACAAAAATGTGGTTGAAATAGTCCGCAAGATTTGCTAAATGCCCGATAAATTTATTGATAACCTATTTTTTTTCACAAAACAAAACAAAAGAAAACAAAACAATGCTAATAAATTTTATAAAACCCGATACCAAATGTCTCAAAATATTGAAAAGGTATTCTGGTTGTTTGGCATGGGTATTCGATGACCAAATATTTGCGATATACTAAACTCTAGTATTTTTAGCAATGAAAAAATATAACTTGATTCCACATCAACTAGCTTCTACAATATAGAACGTGCGAGTTTAATGCCAAGCTTATCAGTAACTGTAACTATAAACAGTACGGCTTCGGCAATATCTTAAATAAATAAGCAAAACATCAAGATAATTGAAATCTAAAATTTTTATAAATATTTTCTAAAAAAAAACACCTGGCACTTAGACATTAATTTTGTTAAAATCAATCCAAAAATTTGTACAAATCCTATTACTAGTATTTGGACAAGAAAAGTTTTCTATCATTAAAATTCTTTCAGATATTGTTTAAATGTACCGGATATGTTGCTTGTGCCATTCCGTTGGAAATAGCATCATTCCAGAAACTGAGTGCAATCGTGCTATAACCAATTTTACCATCGGTAACAAACACATTAATTTTGATAGAAACAATCCAAAAATGTTTACTTATTTTTATTACTAATTATTGGGATAGGAAAAGTTTTCTATTACTTAAATTCGTTCAGATTTAGTTACATATTGTTTATATTTACAGGATATGCTATTTGTGTCATTCTTTCGAAGCATATTTCAGAAACTGATTGCACTAGTGGTATAACTAACTTTGCGAATGAGATTTTCGTGAATGTGAAACCCAATTTAGTAAAGCCAATATATGTATTTGGGGTCGAAAGCTTAGCAATGTTTGATTATAAGAAAACAAACTTTTGGGTACATACATAATATATACATATATGCTATGTAACATAACTTTATTAAGACAAATCACAGTTTTTGGCTTGTAGTCGAAAATCGACGATTTTAAAAATATGAGCATCTTTATGAGTTCTTTATTTTTTATTTTTCAATCGAAAACTTTACAACTAAATGCATTATAGTAGAACACTATAAATTACTATTTAAATTTTTTTATTAAGCTTCTTTCTTGTAGATAAATATATATTCCTTGCTAAGCTGAAAATTATCTCTAGAATATTTATTTTTTCAACGCGTTCTCAAACTTCTGATTGGGTTGGCCAAAACACTCAAACAATCATAAGCTTGCGTTTCACCGTGTGCGTGTGGTAGTGACGTTATACGTATGGATGGTTGAACATGCACGTGCTACAGAGCTGCTGTAAGTTATTTGCACATGGGGTCCACCAGAGAAATTCCGATTTTATTTATTTAGATTTAAAAGTGTAAACATGCATGAAAATTAGTTAATTTCTTTGTTATCTGCTAGTGCCTATGACCTGCACTGGCATTTTATCTTATATTTTTAGGGACATCAAGATCGTACACAAATGGAAAGAGGCAGCTTTAAAAAAAAGAGGGGAGTTTTTATTGCGTGGGATCAGATATCGATGTTTCACCACATCTACTGAAGAGCAACTGATCCAGAGCTCTGCTTCAGCGTTGAATATTTTCGATGATTTGAGATCAAATATTTGATTAAATAGAATTGTTTTTTTGTGCGGTATTTTTATTAATATAAATTTATATTATGCTGACTTAGAGTATGAAACTAAAATTAATTTGACGTACTACGCAGGCAGACAGAAACTGACCCAAAAATAATATACTATGTTCTGCCATATATATCTTGATGGCCAAGTGTGAAGTAATGTAGTATCTTTGTTTAAAGATACGGTTTCAAAGGCTAAACGAAAATGCATAAATTTTAAGAACTCAAATGTAAACATGGAAATTTTAATTTAAAAAAATTAACTAATGCTATGGTAGCTGCGTTTGCTACAGCAAATGATGAATGATCAAAACAGATTTTCAGATTTCATTCAATGTAAATAAAACGCGGCGGTCTATCGACAATCCTCGATAAACGGTATTTAGTATCTTTTTGACCGCTTAAATACTGCTGTCCATTTCACTTCGACCGAAATGTTGCCACCAAAAATGTTGTGCCGTTGTTTTATAAGAAGTTTTTTGCTATGGACTCCCGTATTGTGGCCTGAATACTAGGCCTAAGGCTGTTCTAGGGTGACAATTAATTGTTTAGTGTATGAGCAATAATAAATTCACCTTATTTGGATTTGCTTACAGTTTTGCAGGTTTTTTTTCCATGTTCTCTTTTTTAGTATTTGCATTTTATTGTAATGTCTAATTAAGGTTTTGTTTACGGTTCACCGCCCACCTCCAAGATAATATAATATTCAATGCATATTTTATTAAAATCATTTAACTTTTTGAATTTTTCCTACCCAAAAATCTGCAACAAAGCCTTGGTTTGTACTAATTTGAGAGATGTGAAAAATGCTAAATGTAGCATTAGCGACAAATAAAACCGATGTTGGCTTAGAGAGGAAAAATTGGATATCTCGTTAGACCATCGATAGCTTCCAAGCCTAAATCCCTGCCTAATGAGACGCTGCCTATTCTCTAAAGAATAATAATTTTGCAATAATTCTGAAAACCTTTCCGATCAAGGAAATTTCGGAAAGGAAGAAATCAAATGAAAAGAAAATGATCGTATAATTAAATTAACATGACTAAGTATAAATATTGTAAATAAAGTAATGATAAATAAAAACCAAAAATAAAAAGTAGCCACGAAGTATCTACGACTCACAACACAATACAATAGCAAAAAAATATATTACGTTATCACTTTTTTACGCAGTCCAAATATTGGTTTTCTGCAATCAGATTTGCTGAATTTTGGGAGGCCATGTACACAGCTCACGTTTATGCACTTTTGAGCTGGCCATTTCTCGGACTTAGCGTGGAATTAGGTCTAGAAAACTACCCGTCTCATTGTCTCGGATACTTTTATTTCTGCGACACCCTTAACATCCGTAACATTTTATCTGGCCGAATTTGAAGTTATCGCCTTCCTTTGAAACGACATTTAACAATTTGCGCAAAGTATTGGCTTCCTCGAACATGTTATTGATACCAGTACTGATCACTTGTATCCAGTTTTGCATCTTTGTTAGGTAAAACATATTCGACATTTTAACGGCTTTTGATATTGATTAATGGGACTTAATGGCTAAATTATTATGTAAAAAAACATTTACACCAACTTATGCGTTAGATAACGAGTACTTCCTCCCACTATTTATTTTGATAAATGTGGGGCTAGAATAGCCGGCAGCATTGCGGCCTCCCATTTTTAAAGCTCATTATGGAGATCTGCCTGATGAGGTTACTCGGTTTTAATTTAAAAATCGGAGACGAAATCCTATTGTTGCTATTAAAGCAGTATACAAATTATTTAAAAATAATAGAAAATTAGTCTTAGTTACGTTGTTTTAATCATAAAGTATTATTATTCAGTATACATAATTTTCCAAATATATAAATACTTAAAAAGTATATCAACTTTGGTTCGCAGAAGATATCTTACTTTATTATTTGTTCTATACCTAACGACTACAAATTAAAATAATGTAGCCGGCAGCAGGTTGTGCTGGTTAGCGCTCGAAATGTCTTTTCCTATTTGTTTTTATATATTCTATCTCCGTCGCACTTACTCTAGCTAAGAACCCAGTATCTGATAGTAGAGGAACTGACTATATCATTCTTTCTTGCTTTACTTAGAAATAGAATGTCTTGCAGGTTTATTTCTTTTTATACAGGTCTGAATTCCAAATGTGCATTCTACTTGCTTTAAAAGCTTTTAAATATTTTTGGAAGAAAGCTTTTACTCATTTAAAATTAACTCAATTTTGAACATTGTATCTACATGTACCGAATCTGCCAACGCTAAGAAACAGTCGGACTTCAACTTCCGAACGTTAATTACTAATGATAAAACATCCAGATAGGTCTGCTTTTAACAACCTATATTTTAAGCATCAGTATAATTAGTTAATATACTCATTATTAATTTGTGAAACCATCATCGATGACATACTTGGATGCAAACTCTTATATATTTTGTGGATCATTTAAAATTATGTATAAGGTACAATACGATGCCAAAGAGTGTGCTATTGTTCAGTGTGTATTCATATATACACTAAAAAGCATGAACTCGTAGAAAAGCTTTTTTATTATATAAATATCCTAGCTAGAGTTCAGACATAGGTATTATAAATAAAGTTTCAATTTTTCCCAAAAGTGTATATTCCTTAAGTGCTACGTGTTCTTCTAAATAATAAAAATTTGAACAAAAGATGGGAGTATAGTTTTTTGAACCCCTGTTAAGCAAATACAAACACTTTTTGATAGTATCCCCCTAATGTGGATTGTATTTTTATTTCGGGTAGTATATTTAAATATTACATTAAACAAATAAAATTACGTATTTTGTATTAGTTTTTTTTTGTATTGTACTCAGACAAAATATATGTCAAAATGCCTTCAATGGCATATAGCAAAAGTTTCTAACCTCAAGTGTTCAGAAGTTATTATCGTTTGAATATGGTTTCTTTAATCTGTTTTTCTCCTAATACATGTCAAAATGCCTTTAATGGCATATAGCAAAACTTTCTAACCCCAGTGTTCAAAAGTCTTGAGCGTTGGTATATGGTATGTTTAATCTGTTTTTCTGCTAAACTATTGATTTTTAAGAGTGGTAAAACTACATTTTTTTTTATTATTTAAATGTTATTTCACGTTAGCCATGTACTTATTTTGTTTTGGTATGCAATCCCTGCATTCTTAGCGCTATCTTTACATTCATGTATCACTCAAGTATTTATAAAATCAAGTGCAATTTAATTTTCGTCACAAAAGATTATATTAGAAAGTTTTATTCGTTGAGGGTGCAATTGACCCTTGACTTTTACCTTGTCAAGTGTTTTTGTTAAGCACTTTATTTTAGTAATGCTAACTTATTTAAGTCAAAACCTTAAAATTTTAAATTTGCACTATAGGATAGAGCGTATTAAATTCTTTTTAATTAAAATAAAATAATTATATGTATTTAATCTTATTTAATTTATTTAATCTGACTTAATCCTATTTAAGTCATCACTTTAAAATTTAGCAGGAAGACGAACAAATTAACATGGACACTCAGAATCCAAATAGTTCAAAAATATCTTCTGGAAATAAATTACC